AAATACTTTTTTAATAAATGTTATTTTATCCCATTCCCCCCAGCAAGTCCCCTCCCTTCCCTATGTAAAAAAGCTTTGTTTCCATTTTTTCCTTCTAAAGAAATAATTTTGAGAGAGAATCTACTTGTTCTGAATGCTATGTCCTCACTGAAGTCTCAGCCCAGTTCCTCAGTGATCTCATTTTATGTAACTTAGCACTTCATTATGCATTGCCACTAGCTGATTATCTGATAGAAGATTTAAATCCTGTCCTGTCAAATAAGTTATAAACTGCTCAAAAGTAGAGAATATGCCTCCGGTGTCTCATGGCAGAGCATACAACTCATAGAAAGAAACTATGCAGTTAATGGCTGATGGAGGGCCTTCTTGCCACGAACACTTCATCAGTGTTGCTCTGGCTTTGACCTCCTGTTGATGTGGCTCAGCGTCCATAGTGTAAAAGAGAGAAGGCCCAGAGTGCAAGAAATGAGGAGATAGGGTCGGGGATTTAGCTCAGTGGTTTCACTGCCTGCTGTGCAAGTGCAAGGACCCGAGTTTGATCCCCGGTACCAAAAAACAAAAGAAAGAAATGAGGGGATAGAACAGCACTTCTGGTTTAGTGTGGTAGTTGCCTCACTGTTCTTACTGGAAAGAAATTGATCCCAAAGCAAAACAAGCCGAGGAAGGCTAAAACATAAGAAAAAACAAGAAATGAAGCTGATGGTGATGGTTCCAAGCATAGCATTTATGTATTTTGGCATTTACCAGGCCCTATAACACTTTTCATTCTCTTAGTTAATCCATATCACAGTATTATTCATAAGAACTGTTTTCTTTATTCACATTTTAAAAACTGAAGCCTTAGGGCCAGGAATTTAGCTTAGTGGTTCCGCCACCTGCCTCACAAGCACAAGATCCCAAGTTCGATCCCCAGTACAAAAAAAAAAGAAAAAATACATTGTGAATCCCAGAATGCCTAGGGCCAGGGATTTAGCTCAGTGGTTCTGGCCCCTGCCTTGCAAGTGCAAGGTCCCGAGTTCGATCCCCAGTAACAACAACAAAAACAAAATAACAAAACTGAAGCCTGGAGATCACTGTAGAATACCCAACAGTGAAATCAAGGGACAGGGTCAGGAAACAAGCCAATCACAGAAGGCAGAAACACTCAGGGTAAGCAAGGGACATGACTAGATGTTCTAGGATTTTAAGAATATATAGATATGGGCCGGGGATTTAGCTCCATGGTTTTGCTGCCTGCTGCGCAAGCGCAAGGACTCAAGTTCTATCCCCGGTACCAAAACAAACAAACAAAGAATATATAGGTATAAGGGCCAGGGATTTAGCTCAGTGGTCTGCCACCTGCCTCGAAAGCACAAGGACCCAAGTTCGATCCCCAGTACCAAAAAAAAAAAAGAATATATAGATATAGATATATAGATAAATAAATATATATATAATTATATATATTTAGGTACTGACAAATGAATTCAGGACCTTTGCACTGAGTTATATCTCCAGCCACTCCTTTTGAGACAGGCTCTTGTAAATTGCCCATTCATTCTTTTTTTTTTTTGGTACCGGAGATCTAACTCGGGACCTTGCACTTGTGAGGCATCCATTCATTCTTCCTACCTCAGCCTCCCAGTGCTGAGATTACAGGCATATACCACTACACAAGGTTTTCTGCAGTTGTCTCATTTGTGATGAACTTGACTGAAATTTCCAAATGGAGTTTTAAAAGAAAAAAAATGACAGATTAGCACTATATTTTCAATATCTCCTTAAAGAGAGGAAGTTTGTTTGTTTGTTTGTTTGAGCTAAATAACCTGAAATTCCCTTTGTGAGTTCTTTGGACTCCTACTATCTTGTTAAGCTTATATCCTGTAACCTTTCTAAACTCATTATTCTATTATTTTTTGAAAATTCCATCAGATTTCCTACATAGATGATCATATTGTTTGAAAATAAGGGCAGTTTTACTTCTTTCATTCCATCTGGAAACCTTTCATCTATTTTCTTGCCTTTTTGCATTAATTAGAAACTGCCATTACAATATTGAATAAAAATAAGGAGAGTAGACATCCTTACCTTGTTTCTCATCTTGGAAGGCATTCAGTCCTGTACCACAGAATGTCTTGCTGCTACCTGTAGATTTTTTTGTAAATGCCCTTTATCGAATTAAGAAAGTTCCTTTCTATTCCTATTTTACTGAGATTCTTTTAAAAATCAGGAAGAGTATTAGATTTTTAAAGTAATTTTTCTGCACCTATTGTGATTTTTTTTTCTTTTTAATATGTTAATGTGATGAATTAGTTGATTTTTCTAATACTATGTAAATTTGCACTCCTGGGGTAATGTAAAGAATTACTTATCAAGGTATATTA